ACCACGACCATCGCTGTCTTTACCACCATAAATGTATGCATTATATAAATACTGTGTTCTTGCATCAGTCATTGCTATTATTTTTATCCCATACTTCTCTGGTTTGGATGGGATATACATTTTAAATTTACACCTTCCCCTGAATCCCACCAACATTTCATCTATGCAAGCTGTTGCGCCAATTGTATATGAACATCTAGCATTCTCGCAAAACATATCAAACAGCTCACTAATAGCTGCTACTGGATTTACCTTCTTTCTTTCTTCTCTGTCCTCTGGATTATCAAATCGCAAAGCCACTAACAAAATGGAGAAACGCTCTTGAGACATAACAGCTCGGAATACGTCCCTGCCTCTACCGTCTGTTGCAAAAATACTTCTTACATCTTCATCGTTACTTTTGAAAATTTCGGTGTACAATAACAATCCTAAAAAGGCATCTAATTCGTCATTGTCAATATCTGCTAGCTCCGGTTTATTTTCTCTTTTGTATTTTCTTCTCATAGAAGCTAATTTTGCATTTGTCCAAACTATAACCAAGTCATACATTTCAGGAGAAAATAATTTTTTGAACAATTTAATAGGGCTCTTTTCATAATTTCCAGTTAGTCGAACTGCTGGAAGTCGCAAAATGTTATGTGCTGGTGTTCGTACTCTTCGTTCTGGCTCGCGTCGGCTCCATTTGAATCTATTTTTTCCATACAGGTATTTATTTTCTCGTTTACGTTCATTTCCTGATCTGTTAGGTTCTAACACCTGTTCACTTCCGATAGTAGCATCATCTTCGCCACTGGAAATATCCATGTCTTCGTCATGTTCAATCTCGTAATCAGGATCATCGTCAGACGCCTCTTGCTCGCTTGTTGACTCATGTTCACTCTCAATGAACACATTTTCATCAGGTTCAATATCACTGTTTTCATTGTCTACCTCATTGAACCATCTCATGGCAATTTCCTCAAAGTTAGGATCCAAAACATTAATTCGTTTGGAAGAACTTGGCCTAGAAGTCGCCATAATAAAATATCACTATACTGACGTTAACACGGACAAGGAGTCTGTCAGACTCTGAAATGTACGTAACTCCAAAATCAAAAATAAATGCTAAGTAATCACCTCAACACGCTGTAGCAAAGTGAAAAAGCGGAAGCTACTCGAAGCGGCGTTGACCTTGGGTGTTTTTTGTTGTGAGTACGGTACGATATTTGCGCGGCGGAGTCTACGAGACTCCATGTCCGTAGTTAAGGGTTAATCTTAGCTACATGTTGCTCACCAATAACAAGTGCTACTGCATCTAACAAGCAAGGTTTGATGAGGTCCTCTCCTATAGTGTGTGGTTTTTTATTACGTGCGATGCGATAAGCAATTTTGTATGAAGCTTGAAGGCATGATTCATTTGCTTTCTGTATATTGCCTGTTGAATCCATGCGGGAAGACTTCAGAATCCTCTCCTTTTTCTTAAAAAAATCTATATTTTTATCTGCGAACTCCTTGTGAACTTTAGCAAAATGTTCTTTTAATTTGCTCGGTTTCATGCTTTCTGGATTAAGCACTTTATTACATAAAACACACTGAGGCTTTTCTATATTTTTGTCTACGATGCTTGTGAAACCCCATTGTAGAAATGCTTCTTTATAAGTGCGCTTTTTGCCAGATGAAGTAGAAGCCATGTCAAAAACACCTGTAGGTACCTAAAACAAAAATCAACTAATACATACCTACGTAAACAAATCACTGGTGACAATATTAACGTGACGATATTAACAAACACTGCAATGCGCGGCGGAACAAATAAAATGCGTGTTCTTCCTAAGCTTAGGTAAACAAAATGAACATCGCCGCCTGTCCGGCCCGCCGCTAGTCATGCTTCACCCCTCCCACACCGCAGCTCACCCGCCGCCGTCGCCGTCAGCCGCGCGCATGAGAGCGCCGTGCTACCGTTTACCGTACTATTATTTTGTTTATTGCTATTTTAATACTATTTCGTGCCATCCCGTGTTACCCCCTTAGAATCTCCGTTTTACCCCTGCGGGGGTAATTACCCCCAGGTTAGGAACCACTGGTTTAAGGGAATGGACGAATGCGTAGTTTCTTGTATGTTATGATAGTTGGGAGAAGGCGCGCAGCTATTCTGATCTATGTTATAAGGAGAAGGCGCACTACAATGGGATGATGCAGAAGATGACAGATGAGAAAAGGTGTTATGTTGGTAGGAAAATTGATCCACTAATTCTTGCACGCGGGAACGGAAACATAATATTCTGTTTGCAGGTATTTGCCTTACATGTGGAAGCAAACTTTTGAAAAATGACATATGCTCGTCATCTTGATCACTGCAACCTCTTTTGGCCTTATTTTCGAGATATTCCACTTTGCGTTTTTCTATTTCCAGCATTGATTCTTGATATGCATCGGTAGCAGTTCTCCTTTTTCTCTGTGCCGTAATGGATGCTGAGGTAGGATTCGTTTTCCTTGAAATAGGAGTAGGCGGTACCACGTAACCTTCACTTTCTCGAGAAGACTCTTCATTATCGCTATTCTCGTTCGAAGATTGAATTTCTTCTGTCTCCTGTGTGGACTGAGCTGACTGCATCATCGATAAATTGCCGCTGGCTGCCCTCGGTTTGATCACGTCCTTCAGGAAAAGAAGTTGTGTGAAATACGGCCATTTGGATGTAGGAAGATCTTCGGCAGCGTCTCCAGACCTTGGCGGGGGGAGTTTTCCTAATTCAACGGAGAACTGGTCCCGCAAATACTTCCATTGCTTTCTGATCTTGGCCTCTAAAAAATAAAAATAGAATACTTCTAGGTATCTACAACTTTCTTCATGACAGTCACAATCACAGTTTACAAAATTAAGCCCGTGTTAATTAAATTGTAATGAAGTCATGAGTATTTTTTTGACTTTTATCCTGATTTAATTACAGATATCTAGCAACTGGATCATCATTCAAACAAATTGGATTTTCGTTTAGACTTGGCGCTTCAACCGTAGGACAAATAGTTCAAGAAACAGTTTGTATAATATGGGATGTACTACAGCCTATTCATATGCCAACTCCGAAGAAACAAGATTTTCAAAGGATATCAGAAGAATTTAATAATATTTGGAATTTTCCACACTGTATTGGAGCCATTGACGGCAAACACGTTCGCATTGTTTGTCCTAAAAATTCAGGATCAATGTTTTATAACTATAAGCACTATTTTTCTGTTGTTGTACAGGGCGTAGCGGACGCTAATTACAAATTTATTGTTGTAGAAATTGGCGGTTACGGTAAACAAAGTGACGGCGGTACATTTCAGGCCTCCGAACTATATCGTCAATTAAAAAATGGCACACTAGCAATTCCGGAACCATGCAATTTTCCGCAAACAAAAACCAAGGCGCCTTTTGTATTAATAAGTGACGAGGCATATCCACTCCTGCCTTTCCTCTTGAAACCTTTTGGTGGAAGAAATTTGAGTATTGAGGAGGAATGTTTTAATAAACGCCTATCTCGTGCTAGAAAATCCATAGAATGTACATTTGGTATAATCACTACAAAATGGCGTATACTTTCAAAATGTATTGAAACCAATATTACGACAGCTGACAATATTATTAAATGTATTTGCATTCTACATAACACAATTATTGATAAGGAAGGTTTCGAAAGACATCTTAGTGAAGTATCTGTCGAAAATTGCACAGAAACTACAGGTAAAAAAGCGACGGGAAGACCTCTGAATGACGCTAAAAATATTCGCGATATTTTTGTAACATATTTTGCTCACAATACTTTGTCATACAAAACCTAGATTAAGCTTTTCAAATAATACTGCAATATAATGTAAATAATATTACTACAAATACACCTAGGTACTTACCATCCTGTTTTATTTCAATGCTTATTTCCTTCCAGTATCTGTCAACCACATTGCGATTGCTATGTAGCTTATCCCTCTTGTTCCAAATAGCTGTTCTTTCAAACACCGCAGCAATAAGCAATTCTTTATCCATCACAATATACTACTTACTCGCGCGACAAAAGCCGAAATAAACTAAATTTTGAATACCGTGAGCGCCTGCGAGCAGGTTATCCGCGCGGACCTGCTGCAACCTGTTTTCACTGTGTGTACGTTCATATGAATACACGTGATAATTCTTAAAGCGATAAACGCGAGATGGCGCAGGTTACCGGTAAGCGAGAATCTCGCGTGCACTGTGTTCTTACACTAATGCCCGTGCTTGCTTTTGTCGCTCTGCATCTTTTTCGAGCCGTCTTTTTTTGTATTGGTAGCCCGACAAGCCTGCTCTACCATCAGACATTCTGTCAATAAAAAATAAAAATTTGAAAAACTAAAACCCGACTACGCAAAAAATCGGGCTTTGAAAAGTACGAAACAAGCAAATATACTTTAGCGGATTTGGATATTTAGAGGATAACCGTGGTTACCTGCCATCTTGCCCTAGGTTATGTAGACCCTCATAGTCGCTCATATTGTAAGACAAGGTGGTATGCGACCACGGTTTTCCTAGAATATTTGCTTGTTTCGTACTTTTCAAAGACCGATTTTTTCCATAGTCAGAACTTTTTATTTTATTTTAATTATTTTTCAAACAAACCCAGGAACAGTAGCTAGTAATATATATAGGGTGACTTTTAATTAACACTTGTCAGCCTAAGGGGTCAATGTACTCATGTATACGAACAACTTTTACTATGGGACCAACTTCGAAATCGCGAAAAAAAATCAGCTGTTCCTTACATTTTGGTTGACCGGATTATCATTTTACAATTATGGAGCAGCTGATTTTTTTTCGCGATTTCGAAGTTTGTCCCATGGTAAATGTTGTTCGTATACATGAGTACATTGGCCCCTTAAGCTGACAAGAGTTAATTAATAGTCGCCTTATATACTCGCATGAGTTAATGAAGTCCTTACATTTGATACCCAACACGGTACATTTTAAAAATAAATTTTATTTTTTATTCACAATTTTTTATCATATCATATTTATAAACAAGTGTTATAGAGAAGGTAGTCTCGTCACACATTACATTCGCATATTTTTATGATTCATTTGACTGCCACTAAGGGCCGGTTTCATAATCAAAATTAATTCTCCAGTTAAATTTAATCGAGATTTTAACGATTGAATGGATTTCATAATCTCTAATCAGCCAGTTAAAATTTTTTAATTGGCCGTTAAGTTAACTGCTCTATTTCGGCCTGTTGAGCAGTTAATTGGGGAATTAAATGTTTAACATAACCTTTCTTTGTTGTGTCATTTGGACGTTTGGACGCTATTTGTTAAACTGCAGATTGAAGCGATATTTTATACAAACCGACATTACTTTGAACAATATGGTAAGTATTTACAGTACAAAAAAATACTTGGAAATATTTATTTTCATGTACGTGTTTATATCCTAGATGAATCTATGGCAAAGTAGCAGCAGTAGCTCTTCATCTGATGAGGACATACCTACTATTCGTAAAACGAAGGTGTATAGGAAAAGAGACGATTATTTCACGAAGTTTGATGAGCTAGAATTTTTCCAAAGATTTCGCTTAACAAAGAGGACTTGCTTAGTTTTGCTGGAGCAAATAAAGAATAGTATACAGCTAGAGACAAACAGGTACTGCTTAATATTTTGGCCATTGCATGACACATTTCACACAACAGGGTTCAAAATTAAAGAGAAATTAAAAAAAATCATTGAATAGATTTTGGTAGTAGTATCTATTTTTGCTTAATTTTTAGCTTTAGTGGGATCTCTCAGACCCATCCCTTGGTCATTTTTATAAAAAAGTATTTGGATTATCATAAATAATTTCATGTTGTTTTGAAATATGCCACTTATGTATGAAAGGTGTTGATTTTTAAAAAAAATCTCAAAAATGCAATTTTTTCTAGGGGAGGAAGCATCCAAGCTAAAACTAAGCTACTACTGACTGTGAGATTTTATGCAACTGGCAATATGCTGAGACCTGTGGCAGATTTTGCAGGTGTACCAATAGCATCTGCAAGTCGGATTGTTCGCAAGGTATCAGAAAGCATAGCAGCCTTGCAATCTAATCACATTAAAATGCCAAATACGAGGCAGGAGATGGAAACTACTGCAGCAGAATTTTATAGATTAGCCAGATTTCCAAGAGTTATAGGGGCAATAGACTGCACTTTGATTAAGATGGATTCTCCAGGTGGAACTGATGCTGAAATATATAGATTATAGAACCAGAAAACAGTTATTTTGGAATGCATGTACAAACAGTTTCAGATGCTACATTGAAAATAAGAGATATTGTATTGTAGCACGGTGGCCCGGTTCTTCACATGATAAAACCATTTTCAATAACAGTTCCCTGAAGGAACGTTTTGAGGCTGGTCTATTTAAAGACTATTTATTGATAGGAGATTCTGGTTATCGTTTACGTCCATATCTGATGACAAAACTTCAAGATATTAATGTGGAGGCAGAAAATTTATTTTAACAGTGAGTAGATCTGATCAAAAGAAATGTTTTTTCCTTTACCATTTTTCTGGTAAAATTAAAGTAACAAAGTTATAGCCCTTTGGAAGTTTGAGTACCGCCCTGTCTCAATAATAACATTATGTGCTCGTGTTTGGCAACAACGGATATAATCCGCCTTATCGGTTCATCGCATCGGAAACAAAAAAGCGAAAGAATTTGGAATGACGTTTTTACAATTATTTTATTATACAGTCAGCGTCAGTCGGTAACGCGTGAGTGAATAGTGGTGTCTGTTGCGTGGCTCAAACGAAATCAAAAATGGCACATGTTTACGAAAATGCTGAACTTGTGGACATGATTCTTATTTACGCGGCATCACGGATTTATGCGGATCGGTTTCCCAATCGAGTGCAACCAACCCCTCGTGCCTTTGTTAATGTAGTACAAAGGGCTCGTGAATCAGGTGACTTAAGACCTCACAGGGGAGGGCATGCCAATGCTCCAAGACCGCACGATCAAATACAGGTCCGCACTGAAATACTTGTGGGGGGGATACTTTATAAAACAAGGTAACATTTTTTTTTTATTTTTTTTTTATTTTTACACACATATCTTGGTTTATCTTCCTTCTACAATCATTATCTGAAAATTAATTACTCAACTTCAAAGTCACCCTGTATAATGAATCAATAATTACGACACGGAATGTGGTAGAGAGGCAATATGGTGGTTGGAAAAGACGATTTCCTATCTTAAAATTAGGTATGAGACTTGATCTACATACAATCATGGCAATAATTGTCGCCCAGCGGTCCTACATAATATTGCTATAGAAGAGAATGAAGCAATACCTGAATAGTGGTTCGATGAGGAAATAAATGAACAGGGTGATGTTAGAGATGACAATCGCTCAGGCCAGGTTAGACAGATGTTAATAAATTAATACTTCGCCAATTTATAACAAATCTATATTCAATACAACTAATTGTCAAGCATTCTTCGTTTTATTTCTATTTCTAATTCTAAAAGTTCAAGTTTTTTTCTATGTAGTTCCCCTTCCCACTCGTGTTTCTCTGCATCCCTCTTTCTCTTGATCAGAATGTCTTCTTGTTCTAGTGTGCTTCTTTTAATTTCTTCTTCTGCGAACATAATTTTTTTTCATAAAGTAAATTTTTGCTAGTAGAATTCGTCTGTGTAAGTCTTTTTGACATGGGCATCTTCAACTTCTTTGATGTGTAATTTCCCCAACTCTAAAAAAGTATGAAATAAGACTATGTAAAAAGCAGGACTTGATCATAACCAAAATATACTATAATATACAAGTGGTCAGTGTTATTCTAAGATTTAATTTAATCCTAGTCTTACAATGCATGAAATAATTTGAAAAACTAAAGACTCTCACAAGTGATATTTACTTACAATACAGCTACTGCAGTGCACAATAATTAAGAGCAAAATAATGTTTAGGTAATTAGAGGCTGACTTTACCTCCATTCTTATGAATGTAAATTTCTTTTACCTTTGTAAATAGGTGAAGCATAGCAATAAATTACATGGTGTATTTGCTCAATTATTCTATTATTTATTCTATTATGGAAGAAGCAAGACAATAGGTGATTACTAAAACATTGTAAATGCCTACCTTTGAAGCTGAGGGTGGTTCAGGGTCATTTAAACCAATTTTTCCATTACGCTCATCGTCTCTTTTTTGTTTAGAGGTTAGATTGCTAAAATTTTTTCATATTAATAACATTATTGAAATATTTTTTTAATAATGTCTACAAATATCAAATTGCGATTATTAAAGAAACTTTTATAAATCTTGTGCTCTGGACTAAATATGCTTAGACTATGTTTACATATCTGCATCCAAATTTTGTAATAATTTGACAATAATACTTGATAAATTTAAAAAATATAATTATCCAGTTCACGAAAGCCTGTGCAGCTGTCACAATTCTTTTCCAACAATTTGGGTCGATTTTTCACCATTACATTATCTTTAATACTATCTCTTTCACTTAAGTAAGTCTGCATGACTATCTACAGTATGCCAATACCTGAATATGCTTGATTGCTATTATATGACCTTACCATATTTGAGCTAGTGACTTCATTTTCATATTCAATTACTACTGATGTAACCTAAAATTAACAGATAGGATTATATTCCAATAAAAATTCTTATTTACAATCATTACCTCTGGCGCACCAATCAAAGATGGTATTTCTTTATCAAAAACCAATAGTTGGCTACCTTCTCATTGGAAAGTTAACTCTTGCTGAAATTAGAAATCAAATATTAGATAGATGCATTCTCATATATTGTAGTAAAATATTTTTGAAATGTTTCAAATCTTATTAATGCAAATATTACATAATGAAATATAACTACAGTAAAATTGTACAAGAATGAATTCTAATACCAATTATTAGAACTCAATGATTTATTATAGATTCAACCAATACATTAATTAATTGCTGTAAGTATGGATGTGAAAAGTGGATAATGCGAGCATCAGAAATAAAATATTTAAGAAGAGTGAAAGGAATCACAACACAGAATTATATCAGAAAACAATTAAAAATAATGGATGTGGTTGATCTGTTGAGCAATGAGCTAAAAATGTACAATATCATACAGGTATGCTGTCGCAATATGTACTGACATAGTACAGATATTTTTCATTGCTGGATTAGGACATCTAGAAAGCCTATCATAAATATTGATATCAACTAATATGCTAGTCTTAACATCCAATGAATATCAAGTTATATTATAAATATCTGTGAATCACGGTAATTAATCAATCATCTAGCATTCACCTTATAAATCATAATGCTATAAATACTTACAGTTATTTGACTATCACTGTCCCATAGAGAATCCAGCCCTTAATTATCTCTAGAATTGCCTCTAGGACTGGGTCTAGAGGTTCTACCTTCCCTGGTCCACCACCTGTGCCAGTAATGAAAATCCTTTGCTGTGCTACCACTTTCCTCGCTATCGCTTTGAGGTTCTCATATTTTGTTTTTAGTTGCTCAACAGATCGGACTGTATTGTTACTGGCACAAAAATACTCTCTAACCTTTTGCCAAGCCTCATTCTAAAACAATACAATTAAATGAGATAAATATATCAGTGATCATGAGAATATTATTTACCTTCTCTTGATTATTTACTTTATCCGTAACTTTTGATTCTATAATGTCTTGAAGTTTAGAGACTCTACGAACGAGCAGCAGTTCCTCCTCCTTAGTGAAATTGCTTCCGCGTGCTCGTTTGCCTTTGTTTAAATCCATGTTGGTAGATATATTCGTAAAACACAATAGATAACGCTAGTAAACTGCAAATACACAATCGGTGAAAATATCTGACAATATTGCAGGTTAGGTTAGGTGGCAGCACCCTGAGGTCAGGCATAAAGCGAAAAGTTTTTCTGTGTTTCATGATTGACAAGCCCGATTTGTTCAGGTAAAATTTATTTCAGCGGTACCAACCACAGTTAATCCTTTGTTACTAAATTGACGTTTTGAAAGACTTTATGAAATGCCCCGGAATTAAAGAGGCGTTAATTGGAGAATTAACTTAACAGCCCAATTATCTAACAAGCCATTTAGTGAGCGATTATGAAACCGGCCCTAACATCCACTTTTCAATTTCAGGACTTTCGAACTTTAACTTTAATCAATTAATTACTTTTATAATCTCGTAAGGTAGATAAAGATACGCGTTAAATTCAATTAATAGAATCGAAAACGACAGTGGTATAAAGAAACTGCAACTGACTAGCATGAGGGAAAGAAATGTATTTGTATCTTTGAATGTTTATAGATAAGAAGACAGACATATGGGAAGCCCCCGTTGCATGCAACCAGTGCTGCCAATCCCACGAAACTAAAGTCCTGTACGCACCATCCATCTTGCTGTCCATCCGCGTCCGCGCGACCGCGCACGGCCGTCATGCCCGATCGTGCTGTATGCACCATCCTGCAAAACTTCTAGCACAGCTTGAAGGACGCCGTGTGATCACATTTTATTTTTGTAATCTACTAAAATATGTTGTGAAATTTCAGTGACGTCAATAGTAATCTAAGATAAAGGATGCACATGCCGTAATGTAAAAAAATAACAGACTTTATTGCAGGAACGAAGAGTGGTTACAAGTATTGAACAAAATCTGTCTGTGCCTCGATATAATTCTAATCTTTATAGAAAAAATAACAGAGCTGTATCGAAAAAAAAGAAGTAAAAAGCAAATATTTCTTAATGGGCTTGCTTGCCATACAATTCAATTTGTTGGAATAATGGGCTTGTACCACATATTTATGTTACCAACAGGATTCCATAACTCCTCCCTCCTACGAAAAGTTGGTCTCCAACTTAAAGAAAATTTAATTTACAGTTACAATATGGTTCCAAAGCTGTAAGAGTCGTAAGAAAGGTTTTGCAACTTAGTATGAACTATTATTTCCAAACGATTTTGGTAATAAGAAGGATTTAAAAAGCTAAAATTACTTTCAAGTAAAGGCAATGATAATTCAATCAGCTTGCAGTCTTTAATATCAATTGAAATATTAGTATTAATAGTATTTTAAGTGAATATGAGGACAATTTTCCAACATAGATGGCTTACATGTGCCTGTTTAGTAATTAAAAACATAAATGCGGATTGTTACTTAGTTTGATTAAATTGGAGCAAAATCTTTCTTCTTCAAATTACAAAGTAAAATTGCTAGGGATCTTTATTAATTCATTCCTTATAATTAACAGATACAGTTCAAAAACACTGTAAGTTTTTACGGCCAAGA